TCTTGTAACCGGCAGTTTTAAGGAGTCTTATAACCGGCAGATTTAAGGAGTCTTATAACCGGTGGTTTTAAGGGGTCTTATAACTGGCGGTTGTAACAGTTCATTATATAAGGGAATTCCTTTGAGGTAAATTACATAAGGGTATTTTTGTCATACATTGGTACTGTTTTTATATAAGGGTGTATGCCCAGCTACTGATAAAGATCCAAAAAGTGCATGGACTGCCAGATGATCACAGATGAACATAATTTCCACTGTTTTTCACGGCATCAGAGGCATATGTATCTGTCATTAATGAAAGCTTTTTCAGAGCTTAGAGTGTCTTAAAATGCTGGTGCTTAACTCCAGTTTAGATTTCTGTGGCATCAAGTGAACAAGAGAATTTCTACTTCCCCTGGATGGGATGCTACTCCAATGAAGGGATTGCTGACCCAGCATTTCACTTACTGTTGGTTTCCAATTCCTTATACCTGGGTGGTAAGAGTACTGTGAGAACAAGGCACCCTAACCAGATAAAATACAATGACCCTGGCATGGCTTTAATCCCAGACCACATAATTCAGAGTCTAACACAAAATTAAATAATTATTACAGTTGCAGGCCACAGCACAACCTACTTGGTTAATCTCAAACTTAAAATAAGAACTAGAGGGAAAATTTGCTTTGTGAATAGTTTATTGGGAAGAATGGTTATGAAGCCCAGCAATAAGTAAACAAAGCTGCTATTAGGCTTATTTCACGATCATTCGCAATCCTTTTTTTTACGCTCACACACACTTCATGAATTATAATGTAGCCAAAATGAATTTATAGGTTAGTTCCTCAGACATAAGAGAACAGCCGTAAATGTTTTTTGTGCACACCATTGAAATGAAAAATACGGGGAAAAAAACAAAGAACTTTGTCGGCTCAATAACCATTCCTCAAAGCTATTAACTATGCTTTGAGTGAGGAGACATATTAAGCCTATAAATTAACTGCTTTCATACAACTACAGCAGGAGGATTACCTTGTATAGAGGTAAGTAAGGTAAAGATTCATCGCCATTTCTAATAACCTGTCCACCAAAAACCACATTGTAAGTGCTCGTATAAACTAGATGAGCCACATTATACTGGCAGCAGGCTACAAATAAAATTAACCACATAAATTATAAATATGTATTAAAAATTAAATCAGAAAAGGTCAAGCATCACCACAGACATTCTGAAACTTAAAAATTGACTGATTATGTGACGAATTAAAAAGAGTATATTTGCTCATAAGGTTCAATTTAGAAAATTGTCATAATAATGTATTGAGAAAAAAGTCATTTTGATAATAATATTTTAAAAGCATTCTACATTTTATGCGCCTCTTTATCTGCTAACTAAAACTCAAAAATTTAAAATATAACATATATCAAAATGAAATTATATGACTTGTGCAATAAATTGTAATACCACTATGCATATTACATGTTTATAAGTTACATTAATATTACGTATTTATATTAAAATCTAACATGTAGTTACTAACCTTCAATAACATGCTTGGTTCCTAGAATATTGACCTTCTCTATCTGTTCCCTGTTTAACTAAGAATCCAAACACCTTCATTATCACTGATTTTACTGTTTATGCTTTATGGCAAAAATAGAGGATTTTTTAGAAGGCTTGTATTCAGTAACTGACTGTATAAAATTCTTTGCAAACAAACCAACATTTCAAATGCAGTGATCATAAAGAGCTGTTATGGCTTTTGACACACTATGTATTATACATCACAAGTGATCATCTCTCTATTTCATAGTACTTACGCAGGATTGCCAATGTACCCATACAGACTAGACACAGAGATTGTATTGAACTTGTGAAATCGATATAAAACCTGATATTTTTCAGGTTGAAAACAATGAATACAGTTGAACCCCTATTGAGCGGCCACCCTTATTAGGTGGCCAGTAATCAAAGTCCCAATGAGGGCTTCTCTATTGTTTTTACCTCTGTTAGGCGGCCAACCCTTTTAAGCAGCTACAATCCATTTCCCTGGGCATGAACACTTATTATAATAGCCTGTTAGGGGTTTAACTGTAAATTAATTGGTCCCAGATATAGTATCTGCTAGTAGATATCACTTTTGGTGACAAGTTTTAATGCAATTTACTCCCTAGAATATTAAATCCTACAAGGCTCTTTTCACAGGCATGTTTTTCCTCGCCAGTAGTTTGGTCATGAATTCAACATTTACTAACTTGTTCCCTTCCAGACATTCCATATGATGCACTGTGGAACACAGCATCAATACATTGACCACTGAATAATTTATCCACATCCTCTTTCCTGGTTATGTCACCCTACACAAAACATACAAACCTTTGAATGCTTAGATCAAATTAGAGCTAGTGCTTGAGTCACTCCATTTTTACCCTTAAGTTCCTTCTTAAATTCTGATATAAAGATGGTCAGTTGTTTGAGTGGGAGGGAGAAAGTGATAAAAGCTCTCCTTTTGAAGACCCCTTTTGATGATAAATAAATTTCATTTTTCATCTCTCCCTTTCCCTTGAAGGTCTCTTTTGAGTGAATTCCACAAAGATCTTTGAAAATTTCATGTTCCAGGTGAACACTGAAACATGAGCAATCTAAAATAATTTATTTTCTGTTCTCACTACACAATGGCTATTGAGGAAATTAATTTTTTTGAGCATAACTTTCTCAGTAGTAAAGAAAATAAACAGATTGACTCAACTCATGCACACTGTTATGGTAGAGCACAATTGACCATTTCTCCTTAAAAAACTAAGGTTCTGATTTATCTTTGACATCTTCCAAGCACATTTGAAAGCTTTCTGATGGGTTCTATTGGAATTGAGCACTTAAAAGCTTTGAAGTATGCGACCACAGTTGACATACTGCTGAGAAGAAAATTCATCAAACCATTTTATACCACATCCACTACAACCCCC